AATCCCTAAAAAAATATTATGCATACAGTACAGCATGCCCTTAAAATTCGTGGGGTTTGGGTCTCAAAACAGCTGCAAATTGCCAAATCCGCGAATATCATTTGCTGATGGATTGGGGTGGAGGGGGGGGGGGTAAATTTTACTTGTGTGCAAATAAATGTATATTCCCTTCATGTGTTTGCCCTTAGGACAATTACAGTGAACTCTCAAAAATCAAGACTAAAAGGAGGGACCAGCTGTAAAAATCTTCCAGCAAATGTACTAAACGTATAAAAACGATAAATAATTATATAAAAAAAACACCCAAAATACAGTACATAATATCCTAACCACTGGGGATAGTTATACAGACGTTTCCCTGTGAAAAAGCCACAATTTTCAGCAACATATTACTGTACTCACTTTGTACTCAAATGTACTTGGCTAAAGGACTAAAAAAAATTATCTCTAGTCAAACTGTGAGATGTTTATACTCAACTTAATTGCTATCTTGCAAGGATTCCAGTAATGCAAGTTATGAGCCAAAAACCACCTTTACCATAAAAATCCTATCACCTTCTAGCTGGGGAGGGGATGGTGGGGTGGTTTTTCAGGAACAGAACTCTTAAAAACTAGGGAATGCCGGTAGAACCTTCCTAATATTACAACCAGAACAATATTAAATAAATACCAGATAGTCCTTTAGGTCTACTTTACTTGCAGGTCCAGTAACATCAGGTTTAGTTACCTTTAGTTCCAGTTCACCTGAGGTCCAGCTCATTGCAGGTCCAGGTAAGTTCAGGTCTGGCTCAATTTAGTCTAATTCACATCAGGTCCAGCTCAATTCAGGTCCACTTAAGGCAGTGATGGAGAAAGAACCTAAAAATATAAGATAAAGTACTGCACTGTTACTATGTAAAAATTAAAACATGTACAAAGCAGCTTTCCTCAAAATTACTTAAATAAAAATTTATTTACCTGAAGTGAAACAAAGTAAAAAAAAATAGTACAGCAAGCCCTTCAAATTTGCAGACCTCAATTACTTGCGGATGATACCCTGGATGTACCCAAGCATGTCTAAGGGTAGTTTTAAACTTGCTGGCATTTTCGCAGCCTGGACAGGGAGCTTTTCCTTTACCTGTATTGTATACAGCTCCTCCCCTTCTTACGACAGGGTTAGTGACCAAAATCCAGGTCATAAGTCAAAATGGCCGTAAGTCGAAAATGCTTAAATAATACATAGAAAATCTAGAATGGGCATCTCTTTTTCTTCTCAGCACCACAAAACTCTCACTCTTAAACTTGCCAGCCATTTTAAAGTGAATTACAAACGAATATATATATATATATATATATATATATATATATATATATATATATATATATATATATATATATATATATATATATATATATATATATATATATATATATATATATATATATATATACAGTATAATTATGTGATGAAAGTGGTTAACAATTTAAAACAGTGGGTTCATCTTATTGCACCAAGGTTACATTCACACAAGTAAAATAGCCTATGGTGTTAGTAATTCCCTGATGTACTGTACAGTAAGTCATCACACTAACTTGGGACTCAATAACAAAGATTATTTACCATTGTTCAAGCTATGGTTACATATGTTTACTTATGTTTAAAGAGTTTTCTTGGCTGAAGGCATCAAAGTAAATTACATTGGTAAGTGACTGAAGAAAAACAATACAATACCATTGTTCATAAATCATTAAAATACATATACAGAAAAATCGCCCATCTTTTTCTCCAATTTCATTTCCATTTGTTTATGCTGGACTTCACAAAGTCCATTCCAGTTGATAGAGGAGGAGGGCTAAGATAAAAACAAAAAAATGCGGAGTCCCTGAACCTGGCTGATGCCAGGTCCGAGGGCCAGGGTACAAACTCACCGCGCTAGTGGAGTGTCACAGAAAACTGAAACATTTGGAAGGGGTAATTCGTATACTGTATGTTGTTTCAAATGAATTATGCCAGTGTCTGTGTATATAATACGTGTGTGTACTAATAGTATTAAGGGACAACTCAAGGTACCTATATGGGGGGGTGGGGGGGGGAGAGGCCCAATTGATACATACTACTGTACAATAGTGAGTAAGTGTGACCCTGTCTGAAGGTTATAGTATTACGTCTGTGTACCATTAGTAAACATAGCTACAGTACCTCAGGTATCAGATGAAAATATATGAGAACAATGATCTGGGTAAAGGATAAATGTGAAGTGTTGGGGTTGATCTATAAACTGTACCCTAAGGAAAATATCTTATGTACCTCGGTGTAAGCTTAATACACATCGCTACCCCATGTGACAAATAGCCACAAACAGTGCAAAGATTTGAGAATCTTATGAACGTGTTAAACAATTGCAAAGTGTTGGGGGGGATGGACCATACATACAGTATAAAGTGAAGTGGATATACCCAAGACAAGAACCAAGACCTTAGTTTGGTCTGGCGCCTAAATCGCCCGCTGCTACAGTTTCGAGGTAATGAGATAGCCAAAGTAATTTGCCTGAACCTGACAAGCCAGACACTTACTGTAGTACGTAATTTAGAATTAAGGTATGTTACTATTAGGCATAAAGTCACAATATATAAGAAAGTGTACGTGTGGGGGCCAGAATAAAGACACGGTAAAATTTAAGCACTGGCACCTGTAGGCCTAGTCAGTGTAAGACATTGCCCATCGTCTTCAGTGACATTTGGCAGGTCAGGTGTACATGCCTGTGAGAGGTGGTGACCATGGATGCAGACCAGTGAGGTCTCAGGAAATACTTGGCCCAGCAACCACTGATCTACTGAGGCGCCCACCTGGTGTTGTGGGTAATGCTTGTGGCAATATGAACCCAACAGTAAAACAAATAACTAGTCCACAGGTCAGTCATCAATATTAACTAATATAAACAAACACCAGTCCAATGGTCAATATCATTAACTCACACAGAAAACAACAACGAACGGTCATCAATAACCAATAATAGTAAATGTCAAACAATCAGGTCAGTCATCAATATTAACCAAACAGTAAAACAAATAACTCGTCCACGGGTCAGTCATCAATATTAACCCAACAGTAAAACAAATAACTCGTCCACGGGTCAGTCATCAATATTAACCCAACAGTAAAACAAATAACTAGTCCACGGGTCAGTCATCAATATTAACCACACAGTAAAACAAATAACTAGTCCACGGGTCAGTCATCAATATTAACCAAACAGTAAAACAAATAACTCGTCCACGCAATAAGTTATCATTAACCAAACATAAAATGTAAATAACTAGTCTTAACCCAACAGTAAAACAAATAACTAGTCCACGGGTCAGTCATCAATATTAACCAAACAGTAAAACAAATAACTCGTCCACGGGTCAGTCATCAATATTAACCCAACAGTAAAACAAATAACTCGTCCACGGGTCAGTCATCAATATTAACCCAACAGTAAAACAAATAACTAGTCCACGGGTCAGTCATCAATATTAACCACACAGTAAAACAAATAACTCGTCCACGGGTCAGTCATCAATATTAACCCAACAGTAAAACATATAACTAGTCCACGGGTCAGTCATCAATATTAACCAAACAGTAAAACAAATAACTAGTCCACGGGTCAGTCATCAATATTAACCCAACAGTAAAACAAATTACTAGTCCACAGGTCAGTCATCAATATTAACCCAACAGTAAAACAAATTACTAGTCCACAGGTCAGTCATCAATATTAACCCAACAGTAAAACAAATTACTTGTCCACAGGTCAGTCATCAATATTAACCCAGACTTTATATTATTTATTTAATCTCATATGTATGTAACTTATGTTTATCATTATATTTTGAGAACTCTGAATATTATTGAAATAATGAGTCACACTGACAATGAGCAGTAAAGGGTTAAATGTTACTTCACACAATTAAATAAACTCACAATGTTTTGAAGGCTCATGAGCGGACCTGTGCCATTACCATCATCTGAGGTAGAACCATTTTCACGAGAACATCCCATCAAGTCAATCTTCTGGCAACATGGGATGCTTCAGGTTCCTCAGACAGGTAATCAATTGAAAAAAAAATATATATGACAGCATACAGATAAATGCCTGTACTGTAAAGATACAGCCGACACTGTAAGTAAACAATGCTGTCAAACACTGAAGTGACAATTACCCCTCTAGTTGCTTTATTAAACTCCAGGATAAACTGTACTACAAAAATGAAAATCCCACAGAAAAATCCATGAAAATTGAGGAGATGGCAAATTTTGGAAGGATGTGCTGGTTAAAATTGAACTGGTAGGGACCATTACACCCCCTTTCTCGCCTATGACTTTCCTTATTCGCTCATGCTTGTTCACACACACGTAAATTAACTTCCCTACTTCTGTTATCTTAATTGTATTACTATCTCCTTTTAAAATATAGCCATTACAGGTTTAACTTCAAAGTACTGAAGGTATAACCAATTAAGCTACTCAGCCAGGTTCGCCATTGTTCCACTGACAAATTCCTACAATAATTCCCGGCAATGCAATCTTAAATTAATATGACCCACTCTACAAATAACCTTAAGAGTATCAATACATTTGCATAAGTACAAATTTAACCATTTGAATAAATGGGGAATAAAACTTACCGTAAATATGAAAAACGGAGGGAGGGAGTGTCAACAGCCGGCAGGGCTTCCATGACACACACACTGATCTTGAAAAAAGACTGGATCAAGCAAGCCATTGTTCTCGAGTGCGCAAATTTGCAGCCAACAAAATTTGGGCAGCGCCATATTGGATGGACCCAAAGCTTACCGCTGAATGTAACACAAATATGGCGAAGTGGGGAACTCAGTGCTGTGCTTTCGGGTGCAGCAAGGGAAGAAAATTAGGAAATGAAAGAGAAAACGTTCGAAGTGATAGTGAAGGGACTGAAGACGAAGAAACGAAGATGAAACATAAATTTCCAAGAACTTTTCATGGGTAAGTTATATTTTTATTGCTGCTACTAGCCTTAGGCCGATCCCTTGATGCCTAATGAAGAGGCAGCATTCGATGTTAGCTTCACGCCACTTTAACTCCGATAATGAATTTATACGAGGATAAAATATTTCTCAACATAATTAAGTCTAAGTTGATATTTAGCCTTTCGTTTCTTCCATACTTTTGCATAGATATAATCAGGTAACAGCAAATTTCGTTTCAAGCTAACAAAGCTTATGGAATGCTTTGTATTATCAATTAAATGAATAAATTTTTGACAAGCATAATTTCTCATCAACAGATTTCCATCTAATCCTGAGAAGAGAAGGCAATGGCTTGTTCAAATGCATCATGAGGACTGGTCACCTACATCCTAGTCTCAAATCACTCCTGTGTCTCCTCGAACAGTTATATGACTGCATCACCCTTTGGGGGTCCGGGTCACCTGTGGTCCGGGGTAGTGGGTTTGGTAAGGTGTAGGTTGGTTATATGGTATGAGTTAGCAAGCACAGAGTAGTGGGAATTCAGAACACACAATCAAGAGAACTATTATGAGGGGGGGGGGGGCTAATTTCAAAATGTAATAATAATAATAATACAGAAATACAAAAATGAAAAAAGATCAATAGTGAGAAACAATATATGTATGTTGTTGTCAAAGTAAGAGAAACAATTGAGACCCTGCAATTGTGTGTAAATGAGACAGAAAGATAAATCAGCAACCTGGGACTTGGTCACATATAGCAGCAGGGTCTACCATTAGACAACACATTATGCTTCCAATATCTTCCCAGGCGGTAGTACCTCCCTGTTTGGTAGCTGCCTACTACCTACTACCTGTTAATACTAAGTCAAATATATTGTCACCTCTAGTAGGCTCTGTAATTAGTTGTTTTAAAAAATTGTCCTGTACTACATGTAGGAAGTCTTCAGATTCATAGTCATCTATAATGTTGTCCCAGTCAATATTTCTAAAGTTTAAATCCCCCATAATGCATAGACTGAGCTGCTGCTTTCCCTAATAACACACATAGGACTGACTCACCAGTAACTATGAATATCCTTCTCTCACCACTGTCCCAATTATCACACAGAGCTCCTACGTTCTCCTTCATGGCAAAATAACACTTAGACATAATTATAATCCAAATGGCCTCGTAAGTTGATAAAAAATGAAGTCAAATGGCCCACCCAGGTCCTCCTAGCTGATGTGTTGTTGTGGTGGACGCAAGCTTGAAGTTGTTATGATTACCACGAACACTTTCTAAAATATTTTCTATAACTATTTATTTATATCATTTATCTATGTAATAAAACTCTAAAAGTAATATTTATCTATTTGAAAGTAAATAAATAGATATATAATCTCTAACTCGGTCATAATATATCTAATACCCTATATAACTTTCTTTACATACTGTACTTCATATAAGTTTTATCTACAAAAATAATAAATAAATAAATAATTTTCTGATATATTACTGCAATGTATTGTATTGTTTTATTTATTACCGGCTACAGTCTTGTTACCGAGGGTATAGTGCTGTTGCCAAGGTTATAGTGCTGCCAAAGTTATAGTGTTGCCAAGGTTATACTGTATTCTTATTGCCAGGGTTACAGTCTTGTTACCAATGCTATACTGTAGTCTTGTTACCAAAGTTATACTGTAGTCTTGTTACCAAGGCTATAATGTAGTCTTGTTACCAAGGCTATACTGTAGTCTTGTTACCAAAGCTACTGTCTTGTGGGCAATAAAAATAAAACCAATATAATATATATATTATGTCATTAACTGTATTTGAAGATAAAATAAAACAATATACAGTATCCTATAAAACTGTGAAATTTCTGTAAAGGTTTATAATAAAAAAATGCTGGTTTACAAGTCGTTATCCTCACTACTGTATTAAGACCCGGTAACAAAACTGAAGATGACTGCGGCGGTTTATGATGTACTGACGGGCGATGTGTCCTGCAGGAGGGACGCCAGGCTGGAGGCAGCGGCCAGGGACCCAACGCCCATACTGGAGGATGTGGACACTCCCGCAGACGTCTGGCTGCTACTCCCGATGGTGACGCTCGATCCTAGAGTGCCGAGCGTCCCCAGCGCAGAGGCCGCAGCCCCTAACACAGATCCCGTCGTTGCTCCGCTGCCTGACTGTGCTGTTGTGTTTCCTGGTATTGTTCCTGTGGCACTGTTGCTGCTGGTACTGTTGGTGGCACTGGTGGTGTTAGTGTTGGTGTTACTGGTGTTGCTGTTGACTGTAGTGTTGCTGGTAGTGCCAGTGGTGGTGCCACTGTTAGTGGTACTCCCAGATGTGTTCTGTAAATAGTTACATCACTATTATTTTCTGTAAGTAAACAAACATTTTACCAGAAAGTGTACTGCACTTATACAGACACAAGTATATGTGTCATGGTAGACAAACTCCATCAGTAGTTACCTCAATGGAATCCAAGTTGAGGTGTGTGATAAAACGAAGTCGTCTCTGTAGTGCCGGTCTGAGTCCACGGATGATGCCCTCAACATCGGTCTTGATGGAGTCACCAGTAAACATGTACTTGATGTGGTAGAGAACGTCACAGATGGGGTCCATGTACTTGAGCTCACTAACACTACGATCCACCTGTTGGTAACAACACAGCAGTATTGTAGAGACACAGTAACAGCAATGATGATTAACTTCATCATAACATTTCATAATGAAAGTCTATATTTTCAGCATTTTAAACCATATACTTTTGAATGCTAAAAGTATACAATTATTACAATGAAAACTATATACTTTATGTTATTGTCTTGGTGTCAGAAATTACATTCCTGGTGCAAAAAATGTGCTTTTTGGTACCAAGACTAAATCAAAAAGCACATTTCTGGCACCAAGACTACAGCCTTAGTGCCCAGAAAGCATTAAAAATCATACACTTATGTTTTTGAATACTAAAAGTACTGTACTGTTTAATATTTGTATGACTGAAAGGTAAAAGTGTGTCTTGTAGAGAGAGGCACAATAAACGCACCTTAAAGAGAGCTTCATAAAGCTCTATGGTGACGTCAAACACTTTACGAGCCAGTTCACTGTTGAAGCGCTGCAGGAACGGCCCCACCAGGTGACACAACACCACCAACTGTTCCTCGGTAGTCAGCATTGGTCGTACTCTGTCCCTCATGAACCTGTAGTGACATATTAATGGGATTTAAATCTATACCGAGTTAAATCTAAACATTTATGGCCATTATGGAATATTTCAAAGTAAGGTTTATGATTGAGGCCACTAATTAATCCCTTGTGTATGGGTCGCCTCAGAGCTGAATAAAATTGTCGGGCATTAACCAAATAAAATATTAAAAATGGCATCCTAGTAGTGAAGGTGTGAATAAATAGCACTGCTATTAATAATGAGTTTGCCTAGTACTATTTGTTACAGCCTGGAACTCACTGGGGGATGCGACCGACTTGTCCAAACGATGCATGGTGCCAAAAGGAGTGGGCAAGTGCCACAGTGAGGGCGGCACTCAGGTCACTACGGGACGACTGTAGCTGTTCCAAATTCAGCATCGTGAAGGGATCCATCGAGGTACTACTGGGGGAAGCTAGACATGGTTTCTGCACAGGAATAATCAACCAATAATTAGAAACATCTCTCCCATCCTTTCCCCCATTAAAGGAACTACAGTAATTACGAGAAATCCCAAAATACAAAATTAACTACAGCATACAATAGTTATAATACATTATATATAGAACTTAAAGTATGTTCATTGTTTATATGAGACAGATGGTAGTGAAGGAAATACAACTAGAAGATGGTATGTGATAATAAATTGTCCAGGATTATAAAGTGTGTTTTTTTATGATTATTTTGATCCCAAATTCACTCATGGTGCACAGATACTGAAGAAGTTTATCATACAGAGTTGAGTGACAGAGTATGTGAGTAAATGAGACAGTGAGTGAGATTGAGTGACCAAACGAGTGAGTGAGAAAATGAGTAAGTGAATGAGTGAGTGAGTGTGAGGGTGAAGAATTACGTGAGTGAGTAAACTATTAGGTGAGTGAGTGAGTAAGTGAGAAAATGAGTGAGTGAGTAATACCATAACTCACCTGGAGTAGTTCAATAATACGGTCGTGTACCACCAGCCAGTAAGGTTCAGGTAGACAGGTGAGGAGGAGACCGACAGCATTCACCCATTCCTCCACCTCACCATTGGGAATGTCACAGTACCTGGAAAAAGAGAATCGGGTAATGAAGATAAAAATAATTCTTTTGTCGGTAATAAATCAATATGAACAGAATACCAAATGGACAAGGAAAATTGAAGTGAAAATACTGATATGGTTCAGTTAGGTTACCCTTTGAGCAGCACATCCAAGAGTTTGTTGGCAACGATGGTGGGATTACTGGGAAGGGCCATTAGCTCCACACAGCTCACATGAAGGGCGTGAGCACCGCTGTTGGCGAACTCGTTGAACCGCCACTCCACTGCCGGGAACACTGGCTTACCTTGCATAGCTGTTGTCTGGAGTTAAGGAAGACTCACTATGATAGGTAAGGTTGTAAGTGTTGTTTGTAAGGTTGTAACTGTGTTGTTTGTAAGGTTGTCAATAAGTTACAAAAGGTTGTCAAAATAACCTACAAAATGGAGGTCACATATCTAATGGACTACTCTCTCCATATACTGTAGTCAGTTAATGGGAGTTTGACTATTGTGAAAATGAACGTAGGTCCCTTAAGCCTGACAGCTCATAAGAGGCGGGACAGATATCTCAGTGTATAGGGTGTCTTTCTCTCTCTCTCTCTCTCTCTCTCTCACACACACACACACACAGAAAAATTAACCTTCATTTATTTTTCTTTGTTAGGTTGAGAGAATCATAACAGATTAATGAACACGGTAGATAAATCAACCCAAGAGGAAAGAGTCGGTTTAATATTCACAAATGTAGACCCAGATGCCACACACCATTCAGCTGTAAAGGAATTTAATCAACACCCAGGGATAGGGATGGTTAGCTTAACATTATCTTAGGTTACCATTATCTTAGTTGAAGTTACCATTAGGGTGTTTAATCATCGGGTGAAATAATCTGGGGTGTCTAATCTTCCCCTAATCCTCACCAACCCTAATTAACTCCCCAAAATAAGCTTAAATAATCTGTAAATAAAAGGACACTGTTGACCAGACGTCTAACGAGCGCTGTGTAGTAAGACAACGCCGGGTTCCATGCGATGTCTTCCTGAGGCCGGGCTAGATACTGTCTATATGCCTCAGTCAGAGCCCAACCCTGGGGACGAATTTCTTGCTGTGACATGATAACGGCGACCACCAGACGGCGCTTGAGGTTGGGCCGTTCCCGTAGCTTGTTCTCGTAATAGTGGAATGTGTTGTATAGATATGTGATTGGCCGATCTGGAATGTAAACAAAAAATTAAATATGTAAGGAAAACATTCAAATAAACAGATCACTTGAAAATTTGTGCTGCCCCAGTTTATTTCACCTGATAATTTAATACCAAAATTCTACCCTAACCTAATGTAAACTATTCTAAATGCCCTAGATAGATTAATGTGTTTAATCACCAGGTAAAATAAACTAGGATGGTTAATCTTCCTGTGACATGTATAGAGTATAAACATTGAAGGATAAAATAAGGATAACTGAAGAAAATCCAGTAGGGTACAGAAGCCATAACTCACCGTGGAACTTGTATAATATCCCCAGTCTCTCTAGGATAGTCTCTAGGTTCTTGTGTACTTGGTGAAGCTCTAGGAACCTATGGATGATTATGTCCAACACCTGAGAAGAAATAGACACCAAATTTAGACAATGTTGACCCTGATCTCTGACCTTTGACCCAATTTTATCTAAGATTTTATATTCCTTTGAGTGTTGATGATTGATTGATTGTGGTAATTACATCCCTGACGACCCAACAGGTTTCACATCTAAACGACCCTCGATATAACGGACATTCCACCCAACATAGTCACTTAAATAGAAGTTTCACTGTACTATTAAAAACTATTAATATTTACCGTATAAAATAATCACTTACGGGCAAGAATCTCAAGCAGACGTTCGAGAAGTAAATTGGCAACGTCTGGTACTGTGCGGTGAGTGTTCCTTGCTCCGCCAGTATACTCTCGGGGGAAAACTTCTCGGGATATTTGCGGTGGAAGGCCATGTGTTTCTCGTACCTGGGGAAGTGTGAAATAACGTCAGGTCATGTTATGTTAGGTCATGTCAGGTCAGGTCATGTTCGGTAAGTTTTAGCACATCAATATGAATGTATTTTTATGTTGTGTATTCCCACCATATCCATCCTAACATCGTAGTTTAACCCTTAGAATTATCTGTTATAGGTTAAAGGGCTAAATAATTATCCTTGATGGGTTAAAGGGTTAAATAATCATCTTTAAAGGGCTAAATAAACATCCTTAAAGGGATAAAGGGTTAAATAATCACCCTCAAAGGGTTAAATAATCATCCTTGAAAGGTTAAATACTTATTATTAAAGGGTTAAATAATCATCCTTGAAAGGTTAAATACTTATCATTAAAGGGTTAAATAATCATCCTTAAAGGGTAAAATGGTTAAATAATCATTCTTACAGGACTACAGGGTTCATAAACTCAACGCTACACATTACCAGTTATTCTGCCGCCAGTGGTCGGGGGAGTTCTCCTTGACGAACTCCTGCACGCGGTTCCTCAGCTCGGGAGGCTTGAGGAGTAGCAGCTGTATGATGAAGAAACAAACGTGGGCCTCGCTACCCTCCTGTGTCCTGAGGGCCTGGTGTGGGGGAGGGGGAAGAGGGGTGGGGGGGAAAGAGGGTGGGAGGGGAGGGGAGAGGAGGGAGTGGGGAAGAGGGGTGGGAGGGGGAGTAGGGGAAGAGGGTGGGGAGGGGAAGAGGGGGGTGGGAGGGGGAGAGAGGAGGGGAAGGGGTGGGGAGGGGAAAAGGGGGGGTGGGAGACGGAAAAGGGTGGGAGGGGGAAGACAGGGTGGGAGGGGATAGTAGAGTTTAAATATAGTAAAAGATTATAGTTTGTATAGTTTGTTTCATTTTCAGACTATAACCAAACTAAACCTAACCTAACCAAATCTAATGTAATATAACCTCACCTAACTTACCCTAACCTAACCTCAGAAGACAAGAGTTAGATACAAACACCTCGACACAACAGACAGAGAGGTAAACAAACTCACCAGGCACAACATGAGGCGATCTATGGGCACTATGTTGTACACCCAGATGATGGCGTTCATAGTCTCGACGTACTTGGTCACGTGTTGGCCCCCGGCGCTGTTCGAAAACTCCAACACCAGGAAGTCACAGAGAGTGCGGACGTGGGCGGCGAGTTGACGGGGCCCCACTCGTTCCAGCACCCTGAGATTGTATGGTAATTAACGCAAGGAGTGGATGAGGAGTAACTGGTATTTATAGGAAACTCTGTGATGATAGTAAATAATGCTGTGTTATTCTACTATACTGTATAAATGGAACCATACAGGGTAGGCTTAGGGGTTAGTGAGGGTTGAGAAATATGAGAATTTATTCATTGATTTAAAAAATATTATTCCCTAATGATAATGAGAGTGGGTCCCACAGGCAGGACTACCCATTAGGGACAGTGTGAATAGCTACAGTACACAAGGAGGCAGCATGGCCGGTACTGCTCTTGATTGTATTCATTTCCCTGATACAAGACTTGATAAACTTACTTGTAGGCGATGGGTGGTACTCGATCAGTGTCCAGCACCATCTTGAACAGGAGACAGAGGAAGAGGGGGGAGGTGTTGTGTTGGAGGGAGAAGTGGGTGATGATGTCGTTCTCATTGTTCATCGACTTCCACTTCCTGTACTCCTCCTCGACCGCTTTCTGTTGACGAAACGGGACGATTTACTCTGTTAATCCACGTCTGAAAGGTTTCTCGTCGTGTCCAAAGTAGCCAGCCCCTAATGAGTAAGTCAATAATGCCTTGAACTGATCTAGATACCAACAAAAATGACCTTTCAGAATATATAAATAACCTAATATTACCTTGGGGGGTCAGGTTATGTTGGGTCAGGCCAGGTTATGCTTGGTTAGGTCATGTTATGTCAGATTGTGTAGGTCAGATCAGGTTACGTTAGGTTAGAGTAGATTAGAAGAGGTTAGATCATGTTGTTATGTTAAATAAGGATAGGTCAGGTCATGTTATGTTAAGCTATGTATGCTACTGGTTATGTTAGGTTAGCTTAGCATTAGGTCAGTTAATCTTAAGATGAAATAAGCTGGAAGGGCTAATTGAGAGCTACTTGACCAATATACAATACAGTAGTGGATAAGGAAACACTCACAACCACCATACAGTACCTTGAGTGTGTGCATGTTCTCCCGAGGTGCAGGACACTGGTGGTAAAAGTCCGAGATGACGGTCGGGAAGCACTGGAGCGTGTGATTGGCCCACGTGTGAGGGGTCTGAGTCATGATGGTCTTCAGGACATCGACGCACCAACGAGCCGAGTCTCCTGAGCTGTCACAACCTACAGTGTGAGATGTTTGGATGAGCCTCTTGTGTATGGGGTCCCCTCTGAGCTGAATAAAATTGTCTGGTAGTGGCCAAATAGAATATTAAAAGTGGAGTCCCTGTAGTGAAGGAGTTAATAATTAAAAATCTGGGATCACCTGATGATTAACGTCCTAATGCTACCTTGAGGGGTTAGGTTAGGGTTAAAATGTTAATACTGTGGTGACAAATCTTCAGGTGATCCAAATCTTGAAAAAATTACCTACAAGTAAACCTCTATTTACAATGTCCCAACCTATGATAATCCACGTTAATGATGCTGATAAATATTTGTCACCCCAACAACTCACCAAGTTGGTATATGGAAAGCATATGAGTCGCGATCTACCCGAAAGCCACCTCGTGACCATCTGGTGAACTAGTCCGGCCGTTGTTTCTTTTTGGTTACATGTGTGTAATAATGAAGCTCAATGTTGATCAAATATCATCAGTGTTGTACCTTACAGTGAGAGGACATCACTAAAGTTCACCTTGTACTGTACTCTTTGTTATTGACTGTGAGTTCTTTCTCTCTGATCCTTCACCCCAACATAAATATTTTTACTACTTAGTTTTTGTCTTCATTCAAGAGTCTTCAGGTCATGACACCCACTAATCCTCTACTACAGCTTCATCACAACATTTCTTACATTTGTTTTTAATAAAATAATTGAGCCCCATCACTAGTATTGTGTTTTTTGTGTAGTGAGCAGTGTAACTCTGAAAATGTCTGGCAACCATTTTACTCACCATCCTTAAGGCTACACCTCCAGTCCTCACTATTGAGACTCGCCCAAAGTCTGTGTGGGAGTCAGGGTGATGTGTCCACTCTACCTTAAGCGTCCCTTTTAGCCTTGAAGGGGACGTGTGATGAGGACAAGACTTCTTAATGCTGTGGTGAGTGAGAGTGTTGTAGGGTGTCTGATGGCCAGGAACTTATCCCAATGAATCCCATGTTATAATGAACCTGATTTACGATATTTTGATTTGCGATTGTGTTTCCAGGAACCTAACCCCATCACATAGAGAGGCTTACCTGTATTGCAAAACTGTCCATGTCAGGTTAGGTCAGGTCAGGTTAGGTCAGGTCAGCAGCAACCCCTCAATCCTATCCCATTATCATGACCCAAGTTGAATCAAACCCGTTTACATTCTCACCCGTTACGTGTATTGTCCGAGCCATAGTCAAGACCAGCACCCGGTTGAGCTCTTCGGAGTCGCTACTGATGAGGTTGGGTTTGGTGTCTGAACAAAACGTGAATCGGGTCAAACTGGGCATCACCTCTGCGTTGCCCAGACCCGTGATGAGTCGTAGGGCCACACTCTCCATACTAAGCAAAAAGATAACAGGTTGATTGATTTATCTAACACAATGAGTATATACAGATGTGGATTACCAAGAGACTTTACACACAGGATAAAGGGAAGTGCTAACTACGGTAATGCTTTCTCCGTGGATAACCTGATTTAAGAGCTAGTTCGTCATATACAGACAAATACAGATATATTTAATTAAAGGAATGGCATTTGAAGTATAATTTAACAAATATTTCATCTTGTATGTTAGAGACAGATACTGTACTGACTGATTTAAATAAAGGAAGGTAATTTAAAGTCTAACTCAACAACTATTAATCAGGCAGGTTAACGACAGATACCGAAAGGACTAAATAAAAAATAATTTATACCCCCAATACAAAAAACTAGTCCATCTTCCTTACCATAGGTGGAGCTGAGTCATTTGGGTCATGGTACTGAGGGGGACGGCAGCCATGTGGTGGATGGTGGAGAGGAGTTGGATGCGGTACTGTGGGGGAGAGTGGTGGATGCGGTGGATGAACATCTCCAGGAGGGCGTGCAGGATGCTCCATACGTGGCTCTTGAACACTACTGGCAGGTGGTTCACTGTGGAGGTGGAACAGGATCATGTAACCCAAGTAAATTTTGACTATTTGTATATCTGGGAGAGTCAGTGCAACTAATTCAGGTTTAGAAGAGTCAATATGCAACTAATTCAGGTTTAGAAGAGTCAATATGCAACTAATTTAGGTTTAGAAGTCAATATGTAACTAATTCAGGTTTAGAAGAGTCAATATGCAACTAATTCAACTTTAGAAGAGTAAATATGTAACTAATTCAGGTTTAGAAGAGTCAATATGCAATTAATTCAGGTTTAGAATAGTCAATATGCAACTTATTCATCTTTAGAAGCTTCAATATGCAACTAATTCAGCTTTAGAATAGTCAATATGTAACTAATTCAACTATGCACTGTACTATCAACAAATTATGAATATTCAGTGTATAACCAATCCAATTATCTTATCACCATATCTAGGATAGTGAAGGCTGCAACTAATCCCACTTTTTCTATCATTAATCTACTAAGGATTTCTCAGATGATGTATTAACAAGCTCTAATAATTCTAACGTTAGTGTATCTTGATTTAATCTTTCCTGTGCCGGCGTTGATTCCGGCTGGCCAATGGTGTGCTGGAGTAATGAAACACACCCGCCCCGACCACTCACCTATGAACGTCTTGATGCCGATGCTCTCGATCTCCGTGTAGACCAGAAGCCTCGCGTACGTCTCGATGAGTGCCGGAGCCAGTGCCACCGCTGACTTGTGCTGAGCTTGTTTTTGTATGTGCTGTAAAAAAAAGAAAAGCATGTTTGGTTAGATTTGGTTAGGTTACGTTGGGTTAGGTTAGCTGTTTGGACTATCAGCAAAAGAGCCATAATATATATATTAATTAAACCTAAACTACTGCTTTATTAGTATTATATGACTTGTGTTCTTATATAACATGTGAGAGGTCATCATTATTAAGGTCAAATAAACACACTAGAATTAATTACAGTTGTTTGTATCTAACCTAACCCAACCTGACCTAACCTGACCTAATCTAACCCAACCTGACCTAGTCTAGCCTAACCTACCCAAACCTGACCTAACTTAACCTAACCCAATCTCTAAAACAAAGTATACAGTAAAAACCTCCATTTAATGAACTATATAGAGATGAAAGTCCATTATATCGAGGGTCCGTTAGATATAAAACCCCATTTAAGGGATTATGTGGAGAGAAAAGTCCGCTATATGGAGGTTTCACTGTATAAACAACTTTCTCAACCCAACACCTCACCAACACAATACTGTACAACACAACACCAATACAACACCTCAAGAACACAACACAACACCAATACAACACCTCAAGAACACAACACAACACCCACCTGCCCGATGTTATGGACGAGACTCATTTTAACGTGGACGGTGAGGGAGTCGAGCAGCGTTATGGAGAGGGGGGAGGTGCTGCCCATGGCCACACAGTTTATACCGGGCATGGGTACAGTCGACTTCTGGTTACCCTGGATACTGTCCGATAGTGTCAGAACGGGTCTCTGGAAATACTCCTGTGGGGAGGGAGAGAAGACAAGAAGGAAGAGTGAGAGAGGGAAGGGGAGAGAGGGAAGGAGAGAGAGGGAGAGAGAAAAAGTACATTAGTTATAAATATCATGAGATCGACAGCCATATTTATAGCAGTTAAGAGTGACTGACGATGACTCAGACAACCTAATCCTGGGACGTTGGTTTAAAGTGATACTGTACTCAGATATATGTACAGGGTGTGTCACAAGGCAGGCACACGTATACAGTACAGGGTGTCTCATAGGCCACAACAGAAGACAGCAACCGGGCAACATATCAATGAACAAAAGGAAATCTACGACACTTCAATTTCCCAACAACCGAGAAGGCTTCATTCGTACCTGATTGGTGGAGTAAGCATTGACGAGCAGGGCAATTCTGTAGTCGGCCGGGTTGCCAGCTGTAATGAGTGGCAGTTGTGGGTTGTGGGCCAGACTCTGCAAGAACCTATGAGGGAAAATGGTCAGGTTAGGGTTGGGTTAGATTAGGTTGGGTTAGATTATTTAATATATGCATCACTAGAGAGGGAGTGGTGGGTGTGTTGGGTGAAGAGAGGGTGTGTGTGGGTGTGTTGGGGGAGGGAGGATGTGTGTGGGTGGTTTAGTGAGTGTGTTGGGTGGATGGAAGTTAAGTTATTATACTCAAAGGGTTAAATCACTGTACTCAAGGTGTACAGTAGAGTAGTGTAGAGTCGAGTAAAGCAGTGTAGAGTACAGCAGAGTACAATACATACTCATGGTGATTCTTGAACACAGTAGGCAAGGAGCGAGGGGTCTTGATGTTATCTGCCTGAGCCTTCTTCAATATATGCATCAGTATACACATGGCTGACATCTGCATGGCACATCTCGGGTCGGTATAATCGGGCACCGGCAGCGGCTCTTTCTCCGGGTACAAGACCTCTATAATCACACACAATAAAAAAATAAAATATTACTTTATGTTATGATTGACTTTCATCAGATCTTATGTTGGTTGTGATAAAAGTTTTCACATAATCGTCATGAAATTATAGATATAGAGGCATCAGTTCATTAAGTTTCTATATAATCTTCATGTAATTATAGCGGCATCAGTTCTCACCAATAAGCCTGAGCACCGGCAGGAAGTCAGAGAACTGGTTCTTCTGTATACTGCCGGAGAGGAACTGAAGCAGGACCCACATGAGGTGGTCACGCCCTTGGTGGCTGCCCTTGGCCTTGAGCTGAATAAAGAAAATAAAAACAAATATAATTACAAATGGATATATAATTATTCATTAACATACATTTAATTCATTTTTTATACCAGCATAATGAATAATCCTTCACTTGATAACATGACTCAGTGATATCATTACCATCTTGTTTAATCTCAAAGCCACAATGGGAAGAAGGTTTAAGATGGATTAGGATAATGTGTGTTGATCCGAGAGCTTACGATTCCTTTTTGCTGTAGGTATAAAACATAAACCTCCTCCCACCGCTTTAAGACCCATGAGCCTTTACATGCGACACACCTCTAACATCCGACACAGAGTAACTTCAGAACCCACGAGCCTTTAAATACCTTGTCATGTAACCTCAGAACAAGCGAGGGGAAGGAGATAAGTTGAATGAGGACGAAGTAAATGAGGAGAGAGGAGAGATGAGCGCAGGTACAGGGGCTGTGGTCTCCGGACGTCGGGGTCGAGTTATTACCGCCGGAGCCATTGGAGGACGACACACCGCTGGAGGCATCGACCCGACTGCAGTCCTCCAAGGCTGAGACCATTAACTCCACCAGCTGTTCCTCGAGGGCGATGCACCGCTGTTTTTGCTGGAGGGAGAGTGTTGGTACGGTCAGTTGTTTATACAGTCGAGTGGTGGTCATTCTATTCACTGCTGCTACAGTTAATATAGTTATACAGTCAACAGTTTCAACAGTTAACAGTTAATACAGTCAACGGTTAATATAGTCATACAGTCAACTGGGGTTAAGGACGAGTGTTGGTATGGTTAGTTGTTTATAGTCTAGTGGTAATCATCTGTTCACTGCCATTACAGTTAATATAGTTATACAGTCAACAGTTAATACATTTATAGAGTCAACAGTAAATACAGCCATACAGTCAACAGTTAATACAGTTATACAGTCAATGTGATGGAGGAGTGGACAATCCTATGCTGCTCAGTACTATACAAAAGACAATTAACTCAGCCATACAGTATGTTTTCTTTAATATCTATCACGGTGCAGTATACAAAGGGCAACAGGACATCACACCAGCCATATCATACTTTTGTCTATGTCTATCATGATACAGTACACAAAAAAGACATCAAATCAGCCATATCTCACCTTCTTGGGTATGTCTATCACGGTACAGACCATCTCTCGGGGGTACGGCTGCCTCATAATATACCGCAGGAGGCTAGGTTGAGGCTCCAGAAGCTCAGGGCTGTATGGTAGAGCTCCCTTCAGTTGGAACTTGAGGGAGACTGAGTCGAGCTTCCAGGAGTTGATGGAAGGACTGTTGTGACCTGAGGAATAAATGAGGGACAATGCTTTTAAAGAGAGTAGGTTAGGTTTGGTTAGGTTAGGTTTGGTTAGGTTTGGTTGGTTAGGTTTGGTTAGGTTTGGTTAGGTTTGGTTAGGTTTGGTTAGGTTAGGTTTGGTTAGGTCAGGTTATGTAGGGTAGGTTATAGTAGGTAGGGTAGGTTAGGTTACGTAGGTAAGACAATATAGGCTAACAAAATGTCAAAGGTGGAAATATTCTACTAAACATAATCTATGGGCTTTCCCTCTGAGCTGAATAAAATCGTTCAATGTCTCCCAAATAAAACAACATCAAAAGTGGTGTCCCTATAGTAAAGCTGTGGTGGAAACGATAGGTAACACGCAGCTGACCTGTATGTTCCACAATGGGTCGGAGTTTTGTACGGGCCATGATCGACAGCATCTGGGCAGCTCTTCGAAACTTGTCCACAAAGTCAGTCAAGAGTGATGCCAGTTTCTGCAATTGGGAAACAGGTGATGAGTGAATGGCTATTAAACCCTTTTATGATAATTCTTTTAGAGGTGATTGAGAAGAGATGCACTAACATCACATAAAGATTAACCACCCCAGTTTATTTCACCTGACGGTTCCTAACCTAACCCCCTCAGGTAGGAATTGGTCGTTAATCTTCAGGTGAAATAATCTGGAGGGGGGTACAAATCCTCAGGTATTCTTAAGCCCTTACTCTCTCTCCTCACATCACCTAAACACTGTGATTCATGTCGTCTATCGTATTGGTCGGTTTATATAGGTCGTAAATGACCCCCAAGTGACCTGTCTGTACTGAAAGGATGTATATTGTATGTGGAGAGACAGTGCTGAGATGATTTATATGTATATTCTGTATATACATGGATATACATCAACTTTGCTTCTATAAACTTATGTATATATATATATATTTGACGCACACACCAGATATTTACATTTTAACACACGCACACCAGATATCTATACATACACATATATCACACATCTACACACACACACACACACAAACCAGACATTTACACAGACAGACACACACACATACAAACCAGACATTTGCAGACAGACAGACAGACAGACAGACACACACACATCAAATCAAAACAAACCAGGAACACCACACCACATACCCAGTGAGGCCAATGCTTGTAGTCGGGGTAAAGCTTCAGTAACTCATTAACAATAAAATAACCCGGCAGGAGGGAGGCATTACGGTCAAAGATGAGACTCATGACTTCGTACAGGGCGTCGACCAAGTGGAGCTGTGACCGCCGCAGGTTGCTGGGTAGTTGTCGGGCCCGGTCGAGACACATCTTGAACATAACATTACTGTGCTATAAAATTTCTTTAGGGGGTAATAGTGACCTTGGCTAACATTTACGAGTAACCTAAACTAGACTAAGCTCGACAAATATTTATAACTAATCTAAATTAATCTTGGGAAATGTTTATAACTAACCTAAACTAAACTAACCTTGGTAAACATTTATAACTAAACTAATCTAACCTAACCTAACCTAACCAAACCAGTGAGTAAAAGAGGGATTGTTCTTACTTTACTCTACAAACCTAAGCTAGCACAAGCGGCGCAAGACCCAAGAAATCCCAAGAACCACTCCTCTATGAAATCCCAAGAACCACTCCTCTATGAAATCCCAAGAACCACTCCTCTATGAAATCCCAAGAACCACTCCTCTAAATCCCAAGAACCACTCCTCTAAAATCCCAAGAACCGCTCCTCTATGAAATCCCAAGAACCACTCCTCTATGAAATCCCAAGAACCACTCCTCTATGAAATCCCAAGAACCACTGCCCTATCCCACACCTACAGGACTCCATCACTCACCACCAAATTGAAGGAATTATGACAAATCATACCTTCATTATCTCACGGACGCCCTTGTAGTCGACGCCAGTTATTACTTTCTTAATGATGGCGAACGACGTCACCCAAAAGATCTCGTTGTCGGGAACCAGCATCTCGTCTGTCAGGAGGCGGAGGCAAATCACTCTGAAACGTGTATAGTACAGGTTAAGTTAGGTTAGGTTAAAGTTAAGTTAGTTTAGGGATTTAACTTCATACTGTGCGACTTACTTGGGAGAGATGGTGTTGGTGGTTAGGTTAAAGTTAAGTTAGGTTAAAGTTAGGTGAGATAAAAGTTAAGTTAGGTTAGGTTAAAGATAGATAAGGTTAAAGTTAAGTTAGGTTAAAGATAGGTTTAGTTAAAGTTAAGTTAGGTTAAGGATTTAACTTCATACTGTGCGACTTACTTGGGGGACACAGTGTTGGTGGTTGCCAGGTGTGTGAGGGTCGAGGCTATGAACTTGGCGCGGTAGGAGTTATTCTCAGACCTTAACATCACCACCATCGTCGTAATACCGGCCTCGTGGACCCGCGTCATCGCCTCTGGTCCCGACGACCTGAAAATGAAGCCATAAATAAACTGTACATTTCGTCGAATATCCCAGGAGAGGTTGTTTATTTCTACGAACCTCTACCCGTTCAGGAATTAGGGTAGTGTTATTGTAAGCTAAGGCAGTTTACTCTCGAAGTACAGTTTATTTCACCTGAGGATTAAACACCTCAATGGTAACCTAACCTGATCCTCCCATTTTGTGTAATGGTGTTTGATCATCAGGTGAAATATACCCTGGGGGGAGGAGAGGGTGGGAGGAGGGGTAGGAGATGGAGAGGGGAGGGGGAGGAGGGGTAGGAGATGGGGAGGGTGGGAGGAGGGGTAGGAGATGTGGAGGGGAGGGTGGGAGGAGGGGTGATGAGAGGGTAGGGGAAGAGGAGGATGGTGGTTTATAATATTTATGAGGTCACTCGGAGACACTCACATACACTGACCAGACACTCGGAGACACTCACATACACTGACCAGACACTCGGAGACACTCACATACACTGACCAGACACTCGGAGACACTCAGAGACACGGGCAAAAACTTGCAGATATCTCCAAAACAACAAAACACATCAATAATCTGACAGGAATTAAACCTCAAACACGACATACTTGGCCGTCTCCGTGGCCTTCGGTGTCGCCCCGGGCTGGCCATCCTGCCCGGCCGGTGTGGAGGACGATGCATCAAGGGAAGCCTCATTGAAGATCTTCTGGAGCTCCGCACAGACAGAGGTAAGGGGTGGGTACTCCTTCTCCGATTTCGGCAGCACCAGCAAATTCACGAGAGCCTCCCGAAGAGCATCTCCCTTCTGAAATGACAAAATACAGAACCTGGTAACACACAGACACCTCAGGATTACATTATTTCCGTGATTCTTTTAGCCATGTAACACTAATCTCTATGTATGCACTATCTCCAGCCCAGGATTACATTATTTCCATGATTCTTTTCGTCCTGATTACATTTCCTCCATCTGTTTTGGGTGTGTCATTAATTATCTTCTAAAGCAAATTATTTTTATAACTGCTGCAGAGAATTAACATGTAAAACCTCCATCTAATGAACAATATAGAGATGAAAATCCATTATATCAAGGGTCCATTAGATATGAAACCTCCATCTAGCAGAACATATGGGGAGAGAAGTCATTTACATAAAGGTTACACAGAACATAATTCACCTTGGTAATACTCTACAACACCGACTCATGATAACTAACAACTTTATAAAAAAAATTGAGACAAGAAAAATTTATTCAAAACTTCTAGAAAATTCCCCCTAAAAAAAAATGAAGGAATTTAAACTTTGTATTTCCATAGATTCTGTTCAGAGTAAATAAAGTCCGTGGGCTAACCTAACCAGACCTACCTAACGAAACTAAACCTACCTAACCTAACCTACCTAACCTAACCTAACCAAACCTTACCAAACTTTATATACACATCACTGTAGAGTACCGTCTATGTACTTATGAACCAATATAAACATGGATGATGATTTTACCGAAGAAATAAAAATACCAGTAATTTCGACCAATTATTTTTTTTATAACAACCAATAACAACTACCATTAATAACCACCATCAACCAGTAACAATAACCACCAACCAGCACCACCAACACCCACCACTGTACCTACCTACCGGCAACTACCTACCAACGTCAGTCCCATCAAGTAATAGATAATAAAACAAATAAATACAACAAAAACTAAATAAAATCATCAACTAAACAACTAAATCAACAATAACACACAAATGAATAATAAAAGACTACAAAAATTAACAAAAACCCAAATTAACAGGAACCAACACACCATATTTAACACCTAATTACCACTAAGCTAGGTATAATTAATCCCTATAATCCATTTTAATTATCTCACCAATATGTCCAGGAGACGTTCGTTTATCCTGTTCTCCGTCACAGTCGAGGGATCCTCCATAACAATCATTTAAGCGGTGGTAAGTGGTCATGTTCCAACCACTACAACACCATTACTCTTCTACTGTTTACACCTGTGACGTCACACTCTTTTAACCAAGACGTCTTACTTTATAATGTTTAAAATATTACCACGAACTTTTCTTAATTATGTTCATATATGTACACGAATTTTTTATATTTATTAGTTTTTTAGTTACAAATCGGTTTTAATCTATCTTAAATTATTATATATATCATTTATTAAAGGTTTTGGGTTTTATTAATTTAAATTTATCTATTTTTTTTGTATTGAATTTGGGTGATATTTTGATTAGTCTTCATTGTGTTCATATACTACCACGAACATATCATATATAATATATATATATATATATATATATATATATATATATATATATATATATATATATATATATATATATATATATATATATATATATATATATATAATGGTTTTCAAGATATAAATAATTTGTTATCTATCTTGTTCTATATAAAATTGTATAAAAATCATAATGTTAAGTTTTACTCGGTTAAAGTCGAAGTTATCTGCTGTTAGCAAAAATATAAATAATTGTTAACATAATATTCATGGCTTGGCGTCGCGTCATTGCTAGTACACAATACACTCAATAGATGGCGGTGACTCATATACCTACATATACAGTACATTTCTCCTTTAAGTAATTTCTGTACATAATTCTGTGTTAACTACTGTATACTTTTAGAATAACGGCACATTCATTATTAATATTTTCACGTTCCTCACTGAAGTCGAAGATGCTCGTAACTTTAATCCACGTACACTCAGTATACGTGGACACTACCGAGGGAAGACCCCACAAGCAGCTGTCATAGTTAAATGGAAGGGGAGGGAGTACTCAACCACTGTTGAGGCCCACCCAGTCCTCCCCACCCCCCCACAACCCCCCTCCGGTAACACGACACACATCATATCCCTCTTACACGAATTACCAACTGTATTGAAAGACTCTTAATACACTCTGTACCGCCATCTCCAACCTACACAGACTAACCCTGCCTCCAGCTGCTACCCAGTCACCCCCATCTTGCTCACAGCCTACTCCACCGCCGCCTGGCATCACTGCCGGCGTCCACGCTACCGAGCCTGTCCCGGTGTGCCCGGCTGCCCCCGTCCACCCACCGCACGCCGCGCCTGCCCATGGACCCGAGGACACCACCCCCGGTTCCCCGTCCCCCACCGGCACCTGGGGCCCATCCACTCCAGTTTTCCACATCAATTGAACACCATGAGGCCATGGTAGTGACCTACGCATCTACGCCAAGAAGAACGTCCCCTACCAGCCTCTCGACGTCCCCTTGAAGCCGACACTACCGACGTACACGCCATCACAATCACTCTAAAGGTATTCCTTCAATATTGTCAATGCCTATGGCCTGGCACTTGACATTATTAGGGACCTGCCACGCTTTGCCATAAACAGATTAATTGTACTGGGAATTTTCCCCCCCACACACTCATCATTCTGTCACCTTGTGTAACTTGCTGACAAAACCCATGACCCTTCAGGTTTTTAGGCCCTTAATGCATGAGTCATAAAGGCAAGCATGAACTCCGCATGCGTCCCAGATGGGTGCTGTAAACGCTTCTGCGCTTCACTTTGCACAGGAAGTAACGGGGTGCCCAATAAACTAACCTTCTTGGGGGCAATCTAAAAAAAAATCTAAAAAATCTTGTCCATATATCCTCCTGCTGACAGTGCTGACCTTGTGTGTCATAGTCTTGCTGACATTATACACGTTATGATTATGCTGACACAGACTAATCATGTGTCAGCTTAACATAATAACATTTAAGATTTTTTTAGGGGACATAATTAAATATATATATAAATGTAATTATATTTATTCGTCATAGTATAAAAATATAGAAAATATTTGGTAATAAATGTAAAAAAAACTGATAGTTTTTATAGGTGATGATGACATGTTGAGACGTGTGGTGAAGGATCAGCTGATGGATGTAAACAAAGACTGTACACACCCGCTGCTACAACACAACGGGTGACAAGTGACTGAGATCAAGTATTTCTTCTCCAAGGATGTGTAAGGTTCACTCCAGCTTGACGTGGGACCTGACTAAGGTGAGGAGGGAGGTGGCAGCCTTCCTAAGGGCTCTGGTAAGGGCTCGGGTAACAGCCCTCGTCGTCCACCACAGCAGCAGCACCAATACAGCAGCCGCCACCGCCAAGACAGCGGCCACGTCCAGTAAGAAGTACTGGTGTAGCGGCATGTTGGCGGCAGGTGAGCGCAGGTGAGGGGCGCCGCCGTGACGCAACACGTGTTCCGTCCAGTACACAGCTCGCTGGAGGGGAGGAGTCTCTTGGTCTCGTAGTAGTGTTGATGTTTGCTTCACTCGTCCTCGGTATTGGTCGTCCTCGACAACAGCTGTGATGGCCTCGTACAAATTGTCTTCTGTGAGAGTCTCCAGTGTCAGTTGACGACCCAGGCCGAGTGTCACTGCCTGGCGCACGTTGAGGTGCTGGTCACTCATGAGGGGCAGACCAACTATCGGCACGTTGTGGTACACAGCTTCCTGCAGTGACAGCAGTCCTCCGTGAGTGACGAAGGCGCGCACGCGCTCGTGACCCAGCACGTCCTGTTGGGGGAGCCAGGCGCTAGTGATGACGTTGGGTGGCAGGTCGGGGATGGCGGCGCCCTCCCACTTCCATAAGACACGGTATGGCAGACGAGCAAAAGCTGCCAGCACAGACTGTCTGAGCCAGAGCGGCAGTTGTTGACTGCGGATGGTGGAGCCCAGACTGAACACCACCACAGGTACTGTCGACGAGTCGAGGAAGTGACGCAGCTGAGCGTCTTGTAGTGGCCGAGCGGGCCGACAGTGCATGGCACCGACCTCCACCACGTTGGGCATGAGCGGCCGAGGGTGGCCGAGGGAGTAGTGAGAGTTGACCAAGACCAAGGACACGTTCTTCTCCACCTCCGTCAGGGACACCGTCGGGTCCCCCAGGAACCTCTGTACTACACCTTCCACTCTCTTCATCACCAGCTGACTGCGTAGATAGGGACTGATGATTCTGAGGAGGGAGAACAGCAGGTGTGAGACAGGTGTGTTGTGTGTTATATATATATATATAAGACAGGTGTATGTGATACAGGCGTGTTATACAGGTGTGCAGTAAGTGTTAACTCACCTAACAAGGGTGTTGACGGTTCTCTCCCAAAGGTTCATGTTAGCACCATAACTGAGGTACTGGTTGGGCACGTAGGCTGGGTTCTCGGGATTGGCCAACAGGTCGGCCGTCCACGGTGTTAGACCTGAGGTGGTGATGTAGATGAAGGGGACCTTAAACTTGTGTACGAGTGCCAGTCCACACTCGTTCATGAAGGCTGGCAGGATCACCACGTCTGGCTTGGTGTGCCAGGCACTACGGACACCTGGATCACGCAGGAAGGCGTCACAGTACTCCGGCAGGTTACGGATAACCTTCTTCATCACCTCAGAGTTGATGTTCTTCCCGCCGCTGGCTTCCCGCATCTTGAACACGTCGAAGCTTCCCGTCACTTTACGGATGGTCTCCCAGGCCTCGCTGGCTACCAGGTCGGTGTAGTGGTGACTGGCGGGTCCTGCGTGTAGTGACGCTATCGTTACCTGGTGACCTACGACCCAGCGACTCTGCCAGCGGCGTCTAAGTTCTTGTGTGATGGTGAACCAAGAGGCAGCACCATCAGCACCCTCGACCCTTCACTCAGGACCACCAGCAGCGTCAGCCACACCACCAGGAGCTTCATCATGGCCGCCTCACCAGTCATCAATACGTCCTCACTTGACCACGTAGCGAAGGATAAATAAGTCCTTTCTCTGAGAGGTGCGTCCCGGAGGAAGGATGGTAATGTTTTGTTTGGTTGGTGAGGCCGCCACCCTCTTATCTCTCTTCTATACCCGAGGGAGGTTAGCCAAGAGGCGCTATTGGTCAGTTTCTCTGTGACGTCACAATCTCACACGGCCATCTCACAAAAGTCACCACCTCACACGACCCCCTTATTGAACGCCACTACCTCACACGACCCCCTCACAGATGCCACTACCTCACACGACCCCCTCACAGATGCCACTACACCTCACGACCCCTCACTGATGCCACTACCTCACGACCCCCTCACTGATGCCACTACCTCACGACCTCCTCACAGATGCCACAACCTCCACGACCCCCTCACAGATGCCACAACCTCACACGACCCCCTCACAGATGCCACAACCTCACACGACCCCCTCACTGATGCCACTACCTCACACGACCCCTCACAGATGCCACTACCTCACACGACCCCCTCACTGATGCCACTACCTCACACGACCCCCCACTGATGCCACTACCTCACACGACCCCTCACAGGTGCCACAACCTCACACGGCCCCCTCACAGATGCCACAACTCCACCCCCTCACAGATGCCACAACCTCCACACGACCCCACTAACATCACACCTAACACGACCCCCACTAACGCCACACCCCCGACCCCACTAATCCACACCCCCGGCCCCCCACTAACGCCACACCCCACGACCCTCACTAACATCACACCTAACACGACCACCACTAACGCCACACCCCCGGCCCCCACTAACATCACACCTAACGCCCCCACTAACGCCTACCCCCGACCCCACTAACATCACACCTAACGACCCCACTAACGCCACACACCCCCGACCCCCACATCACACCCCCGGCCCCCCACTAACGCCACACGGCCCCCCACAGGCAATATACAGTTCTGTTTTCCTGCTGTTCGTCACATTACACTAACATGATAACCGAGATTGTTATCAACGAGGAAAAGATAACATATATTAATACGTTATCCATACGACCTGAGAGTGAACTGCAGTTGGTGTCGATAACGTTAACTATTGGGTAACTAACTCTCTATTGTTGGATGGTTGGTTGGATGGATGGATGGATGGTTGGTTGGATGGGTGGATGGATGGATGGTTGGGTGGATGGATGGCGGGAGGGAGGGTTGAATAAATAGATAGATAGATAAATAGGTAAGATAGATAGATAGATAGATAATGAATATCGTAACCTCACGTATTCAAACCAAACCAAACCTTCCCAAACCTTCTAAACCTTCCCAAACCTTCCTAGACCTTCCCAAACCTTCCCAGACCTTCTAAACCTTCCCAGACCTCCTAGACCTTCCCAAACCTTCCCAGACCTTCCCAAACCTTCCCAGACCTTCCCCAAACCTTCCCAGACCTTCCAAACCCCAGACCCAGCCCCCAAACCTTCCCCAAACTTTCAGAACTCCTTCCCAAACCTTTCCTTCAGACCTTCCCAAACCTTCCCAGACCTTCCCTAGACCTTCCCCAAACCATCCCCAAACCTTCCCAAACCTTCGAACCTTCCCAAACTTCCCAGACCTTCCCAAACCTTCCCAGGCCTTCCCAAACCTTCCCAGACCTTCCCCAAACCTTCCCAGACCTCTAGACCTTCCCAAACCTTCCCAGGCTCCCAACCCCAGACCTTCCCAAACCTTCCCAGACCTTCCCTGGACCTTCCCCAAACCTTCCCAGGTCTTTAAACCTTAGACCTTCCCAAACACTGAATAAACACCGGTGAAATGTTTACATATATTGCGTCAAGTTTTCCAAGAATCATTAAAGCGTTCTGGTTAGATTGTCTGTTTAGTATCAAGAGTTGGTTCTTAGTATGGTGGGAGGGGAGGTGAGTGGAGGAGGGAGGGAGGGTGATGAGGAGAGGGTGAGTGGCATACGAGCGTCTTTAACTAAGCAGTTAAATCTGTAACAAGCACTACACGTTTTGGTCAAGGTTATGATGTGATGAGAGAAGAAGAGAGAGAGAGAGAGAATGAGAGAATAAGAAGAACTCACTTGGCTTCCTAATAACCTCTCTCTCTCTCTCTCTCTCTCAAATGTATTGTTTAAATGCGTATCAACACAATCACACAGTAATACGCATCTTACAAGGTCTAGTTTATACGCCGCTTGATGGTGGTAATAAAATAAACTGCGTATGATTGTCTATCTATCTATCTATCTGTGAAGCCTAACAGTATACGCATTTAGTTGCTGTCTTCAAATCTGTTAGTTATACCTCCCCTACCCCCCTACCCCTCCCCTCCTTCCCTCCCCCCCTCCACTAAGGCTATAAAGTGGTTTGTTTTATATCGTGTCAGCTGATTACAGCGCCGTTGGTCATTATTTATCTTTTCTCTTTAAAAATACAAAATTTATTTAAGGTATTTAATTGTTAGTTTTCCTCCTTCTGAATTAATTGATTGTTGTTCTTGTTTCACTGTAATGATGATGATGATGATGATGATGATGATGATGATGATGATGATGATGACGATGATGATGATGATGATGATGATGATGACGATGACGATGATGATGGTGATGATGATGACGATGACGATATGGTGATGATGATGATGATGATGATGATGATGATGGTGATGATGATGATGATGATGATGGTGATGATGATGACGATGATGATGATGATGATGATGATGATGATGATAATAATATCAATATATATATATATATGTATAAAATAAGATTTTCATAGGTTCCCAAATTAATTCTACCTATTCTCCCTTCCTCTCTCTCTTTCTCCCTTCCTCCCTCTCTTTTCCTCCTTCCTCCTCTCTTTTTTCTCCCTTCCTCCCTCTCTCTTTCTCCTTCCTCCTCTCTCTTTCTCCTTCCTCCCTCTCTTTTCCTCCTTCCCTCCCTCTCTCTTTCTCCCCTTCCTCCCTCTCTCTTTCCTCCTTCCTCCCTCTCTTTTCCTCCCTTCCTCCTCTCTTTCTCCCTTCCTCCCTCTCTCTTTCTCCCTTCCTCCTCTCTTTTTCCTCCCTTCCTCCTCTCCTTTTCCACTTCTCCTCTCTCTTTCTCCTTTTCCTCTTTCCTCCTTCCTCCCTCTCTCTTTCTCCCTTCCTCCTCTCTCTTTCTCCCTTCCTCCCACTCTTTTCTCCTTCTCCTCTCTCTTTCTCCCTTCCTCCCTCTCTCTTTTCTCCTTCCTCCTCTCTTTTCCTCCCTTCCTCCCTCTCTTTTTCCCTTCCTCCCTCTCTCTTTCTCCCCTTCCTCTCTCTCTTTCTCCCTTCCTCCTCTCTTTTCCTCCTTCCTCCCTCTCTTTCCCTTCCTCCCTCTCGTTTCCTCCCTTCCTCCCTCTCTTTTTCTCCCTTCCTCCCTCTCTCTTTCTCCCTTCCTCCCTCCCCTCTTTTCCTCCTTCCCTCCCTCTCTTTCTCCCTTCCTCCCCACTCTTTTCTCCCTTCCTCCTCTCTTTTTCTCCTTCCCTTTCCTCTCTCTTTCTCCTTCCTCCCTCTCTCTTTATCCCTCCCTCCCTCTCTTTATCCCTCCCTCCCTCCCTCTCTTACTCGCTCCTTCATTCTCCTTCTCTGACGTCATTAATTGAAGGAACTAGACGAGGAAACGGAGCCATCCTTAGGACTTTCCCGTGACGTCACACCAAAACAATAACAAACGCTTGCGCAGAAGTGCTAGTGACGTCACGCTCCTAAAAATACCAAGTAGGAGGGGGAGAAGAGAGGACGAGGTTGTCGTGTCTTTATAGCAGCAGTTGAGAGAGAGAGAGTAAACACACACACACACACACACACACACACACACACACACACACACAGAAACAGGCGATAGCAGACACACAGACACATTACACGAGACTGATAACTTGACAATCAGCTTTGAGATTAATGATACAGCCAATCACGTTTGAGATAAATACAGTCACAGCCAATTAAAACACAGAAACAATCCATCTCCTAGACCCCAAAACCATCTCCTAGACCCAAAACCATCTCCTGAGCCCCAAAACCATCTCCCAGACCCAAACCATCTCCCTGAACCCAAAACCATCTCCTAGACCCCAAAACCATCTCCTAGACCCCAAACCATCTCCTGGACCCCAAAACCATCTCCTGACCCCAAAACCATCTCCTAGACCCCAAAACCATCTCCTAGACCCCAAAACCATCTCCTGGACCCCAAAACCATCTCCTAGACCCCAAAACCATCTCCCTAGACCCCAAAACCATCTCCTGGACCCGAAACCATCTCCTGAACCCCAAAACCATCTCCTGAACCCCCAAAACCATCTCCTAGACCCCAAAACCATCTCTAGACAAAACCATCTCCTAGACCCCCAAACCATCTCCTAGACCCCCAAAACCATCTCCTAGACCCCAAAACCATCTCCTGAACCCCAAAACCATCTCCTAGACCCCAAAACCATCTCCTGGACCCCAAAACCATCTCCTAGACCCCCAAACCATCTCCTAGACCCCAAAACCATCTCCTAGACCCCAACCATCTCCTGAACCCCAAAACCATCTCCTAGACCCCAAAACCATCTCCTAGACCCCCCAAATTTGATACCATATCCCAGCTCACGTTTCCAAGGTCAATTGACGCGTGTGGGGTGTTAGGTCACGTGTGTTATCACTGTCCTGAGAGAGTGAGAGAATGAGAGAGGGAGAGAGAGATAATTACATAAGACCTACCATACAGACATCTTACCTCACACTAACCTGGGTACACATTCTTACTGAGTTAGACACAAGCTGATATAGGGGCAGCAGAGAGGTCCAATATATTGTCT